GTAATAAAACTGCCAGCAACTGCAAGGCCAAGTGATTAGAAGGCTAGTTGAAAATTTAAACACCCTTTTTACTCATTAATCTCCAACTGCTAAAGACAAACAAAAAGCAAAATTAACATGATTGTAAACTAAGCACTTGTGTCCTGTGGCTACCACGTTGGCCTGCTGAGAGGGAATGAGTTGATCAAAGCCAGTGATTCCGCGGAGAACTGTGGGATTAGTGCTGCTTCAGGGAGCGCACAGCCAGCATCCATTACCCAGCCTGTTTCAGGAACAGGTGAACACCGTAATTAATCTTGGCTTCAATTTGGAAGGAAGCAGGGAACCTACCTGCCCTGTCCAGAGTTTATATGTTAATCTCCCAAGCTCTGGGAAAAAGTTTTTAAATTGACATACAGACTTCTCCTGCTCTTCCGAATGTATAGAGAAGAAACAATTGGGAGGTGTTGCTGGGTTCCCTAACTTCAGGCAGTTAAGACAAGATGCCTCCCAGGAAAGCTGTTGATTGCCACCTTGCTTGATTTGATGCATCTCAGCGCGCAGGGCAAAGGCTCTTCCAATGAAGCTAGCAGGTTTTTCAATGCAAGAAAATACTCAGAGATGCAGGGGCCTTACCCACAAACATGCACCATAAAAATCCATGTATTTAGAATTGGAGTTGCCTTCAGGGGAAAACTCATCTAGTCAATGGGCTCTTGAATTGCTTAAAGCTTATCCAGGACTTTACACATTATTCTAGATACAGAAAAATGAATAGGCATGTGCCTTGTCCCCACCTTTGAACGAATATCATATTTTTTTTAAAAGCAATAAAATGTACAAATGAAATAGCTGCATCAGCGATAGAAATTTCACATTAGGAACACTGACAATTTGTGCTAAAATTTAATGCTGAATGAACTGGGTACCAAAATAAAACCAAATCACAGAAGGCAATCCTTCTTCTGAGTGGAGACAACAATTTATGAAAATAAGTAAGAGATGCTAGAAGGTGGCCTCTGACCCCCTAACATGGAGTGGCAAAGGCCACTCCATCATTGCAGGTGGTTGAAAGAAAAGCAGGTTGAGAGGCCCCTTCGGAATTGTAACACTTGGGTGCCCCTACCTCTTCCACACCCTCAGAGATGGCCTGAGACCCCAGGGGGGCACAAGCTAGCCATCCAAGCATAAAGCTGTAAAACGTAAAGTCCTTTTCCCAGAGACCCTACATGTTACTAGACATGTGGCTTCACTATGACAACCTTCCCCATTCCACTCTGCTCCACTCCCACAATTCTGTAACAAAATACTACATTTCTGAAATGCAATTACCGCCAGCTTTTTCCCCCATTTCATCTGGATTTGATGTCCTACTATTAAAATTTTAGTCTATCTTAGTCAGATTGGACTGTTATAGCAAGATACCAGAGACTGGGTGGCTTAAACCACAGAAATTTCTCACAGTTCTGGCGGCTAGAAAATCCAAGATCAGTGCCAGCCGATTTGTGTCTGCTGAGAGCCCTTATCTTGGTTTGCAATAGCTGTCTTCTAGTTGTCTCCACACAGGGCTGAGAACAAAGAGAGAAAGCTTTCTCATGTTTAATCTTATAAAGGTACTAATCCCATCATGAGGACTCCACCTTCAAGAACTAATTACCTCCCCAAAGCCCCATCTTCAGATTAGAATTCCAACAATGAATTGGGATGGAGGGGTAGGGCTACACACAAACATGCAGTCCCTAATAGAACCCATATCAATTTCCGACAACTGGACAGGAATCATTGACAGCAAATTCAACCATTCTAGTGTTGTTCAAAGCAGGTAGGGACACTGCATAGCTGCCACCAATCATGCAACAGGGCTTGGGATGAATTCCACATGGTCGTTCAGCTTGAGTTAAGAAGTAGGCCTTTAATGGGGAAATTTACAAGGAAAAGATGGCTTGGTTTCAGATCTTCCCATCATCCCAGAGAGAAGGATGCTATGGCTAGGTGCTGTGTGTGTTCCAGTGTAAGGAGTTATCACCTGAAGAGACATATTCTTAGAGTAAAATTGTGAGAAAGGAGCCTTGTCAGATTGTGAACAAAGAGACTATTTAGAGCCAGGGCAACTAAGTTTAGATACCGGCTGCCAAACACCTAGGGACCCCAGGGGCCCTTAGGAAGTTGCAGCCCCTTTTGGTAGGGGCCATCCTGGGAAACTAAGTTTGAGCATAACCTCTCCTGCTGGCAGAAGGGGAGACCCTAGCTCCTCCTGGCATTATATGTTGGCAACCCCAGTGTTAGCTCCCAAGGTCATTTTTGGGTGATTCTACCTAAAGCGCCATATTCTTCTAATCATTTTTAATAAGTGTTAGTTGTAACCTTCTAATGACCAATGTGAATAATACCATGCTACAACAATCTTCCAGGTAAAGGAAAAGTTTTGAGTAAATAAAAGGTTGTTCAGAAATGAAAGTTTCAGTGGAGTAGCAGTATAACATTCAGATACATCCTAATATTAAGTCAGAGGGAAAAGGCAAAATGGAGATAGCCAAGCAATTGAGGAAAAGGAGGAAGAGATAATGAGGTGAAGAAATATATGACGGAAATATATGTCCAGAAACTTTTTCCGGACAGACCTCATATATTATATATTATCTACAACAAAGAATACCATGTTACTGTTAAAAAGAACAAAGTAGCCTGCCGCAGACTGGGTGGGTAGCTTAAATAACAGAAATTTATTTTCTCACAGTTCTGGAGGCTAGAATTCACTCAAGGTGTCAGCAGGGTTGGTTTCTTACGAGGCCTCTCTCCTTGGCTTGTCGATGGCCATCTTCTCCCTGTGCCTTCACATATTTTTCCCTCTTTACCCATTTGTGTCCCCATTTCCTTATAAGGACACCAGTCTTATTAGAATAGGAGACCCACTAATGACTTCATTTAAACTAAATTATCTTTTTAAGGACCCTATTTCCGAATACAGTCACATTTTGAGGTACTGAGTGTTAGGGTTTCAACATGTCAAATTTAGGAGGACACAATTCAGTCCATAACATTTACTGCCATGGAAAGATATTTATGATTCTTAGGTTTAAAAAAAATCAAGGAACAGAACAACATGTACAGCATGATTCCCTTTCTAAAAAAATTTAAAAAACAATAAAAGCAAACCGTCTGGTATATGCTCCCATGCAGTTTGGGGTATATTGAAAACATTCCGTAAGAACAGATATTCAACTGTTAATAATGGCTCCCTGAGGAATAAAACAATGAAAGGGGGTGGGGTACATATTTCCACTTTTTTTTTTTTTTACAAGCATGGGTTAATTTAATAATTGGAAAATTTCAGCTCAAAAAAAAAATACGGCTACAATGTCAATATCCCTTCCTCCCCTCCCAAAAAAGGGAAATATGTTCTTCCTTGAAACAAAGTGTCCTTATTTAAATGAGGGTAGGGGCCTGGCATTCAACCCCAGGTAGATTAACAAAGAGAAGAAAATTGGGAAGAAAAACAACTAAAACCAACACTTTGACACCATCTTAAACATTGGGGAAGAAGAGACACAGGACATACACAATTGTCTCTGTCTGCCAGCTGAGAAGAATGAGTGACTTGGGGTAAAAAAAACCAAGTGTTAGAAAATAAAATGATATTTCTTCAGATTCATATGTTTATACATACTCTTCTCATTTAATTTTCTTGCAAATCCTATTATCTTCATTTTATAAATGAGAAAAGGGCTTTTTACAGTTAATTTTCTTGAGGTTGCACACCAGTATGGAAGCAAAACTAGAACTCAAATTTGGGTCTCCCTCACCCTGAAGCCCATGCTAGCTTCTACTCCGCGCAGCCTGAATAGGTTTTGTCTTCTTCCTGTCACCTGCACCCAATCTCTACTCCCAAATCTTGCTAATTTAGGTAGCATCCCCTCTCCCAAGTTTAGGTGGCTCTCTTTAGGCCCCCCTAAATCCCCTGACTCCATTTGTATCACAGACCATAAAGTAGTTTAATGATCACTGTGTATGATTTTTCTCCTCCAATGTACTGTGAACTATTGAGAGCAGCAATTAAGTATCACGCGTGCCTGATGCATGGTAGGTGCTTTAGTTCTGCAACAGAAAGGTATCATTTATATTTGATTGTTTCCTGAACTTCATAAGGTTAAAAAATATATCTGGTTTTATGAATATAAAAATATAACTGGTATGCACCATTAAATCACCGGAGCCTAACACATACCTGGTACAGACTAGGCTTTCAATAAATATTTTTGAATAAATGAATAATTCTATAAGTAATCTCTATTTACTGTGACTCTGAGTCACATTCCAAGAAAAAAACAGCCTCTTGACGTCCTTTTTCTTGTAATGATTTAGTATTTTATATTATTTCTACACTTCAACATTTTAAAATTCGTCATTATTTTCCCGTTTTCATCCTTACACTCACATGGAACATGATCTCCACTATTTGAAAGTGTGAGATTTTGATTCTGACTTACATTTATCCTCCCACTGCAAACTGCTAACGATTCCTTTTAACCTCCTTCGCTTGACTGCCACAGTGTCCTGAACGTCCTCAATAGGAGGACGGGGGAGGTACTTAGAGGTAAACAATTAGCCTCCATTTACAAACTTGCTTTTCCCTAGGGTAATTGTAAAGTTACACGTTCCTGGATGTGAACCGCTCGTGACAGAATCTCCTCAAGAAGTGGACTGATAAGGTATGACAGGACTAAAGATAGAGAATAACAGAAGAGTTAAAACAGTATTTGCTAGACAAAGTTCTGATCTTTTAAAAATATATGATACAGACCCTCATTAGAGAAACAAGAAAAACATATTCCAAATTACCTTCCAAGCAGTTTGCCTGGATTAGGTCCCACAAAGAAGGGGACCAAGCGCCCTCTCGCACGAACGTTTGAAGCCTGAGGCTGTGCCCCTGTGGGCGGGGCCAGAGCCCCCTCACCGCGCGCGACCTAAAGGAGGGGGCGGGATTGGAGGCGGGCCCGGGCTTCTAGGGGCGGGGCCGCGCGGGCGAGGGGCAGGCTGGGAAGCGGCGCCATATTGGCGTCGGCCGCGCTGTATTGTCATAAATAGAGCCGGTTATGTAGTGTTTTCACTACTCGGTTGGGTGCCTCGGCCGTAGTGAGTGAGAAAGTGAGCGAGTAAGCGAGTTACAAGCGACTGGAGGAAAGTGGACAGAGAGAGAAGGGGAGAGCAAAAACGGGACTCCAGAGCGGGAGACACTCGCCGGTGAGGGAGACGCAGGAAGCGATGAAAGAAACGTCTGCGTAAGTGGTGGGGGGCGGCGGTTGAGGTTGAGGCGGCGAGGGGTGGGCTGAGGTGGTCGGCCTGGGACTTCGTTTACGTGCGCTGTCCGGAACTCGCCGGAGTGGTCTCTTTCCCCGCTCCGGTCCGGTTGGCAAGGGTACCTCCCCTACACCCAGCAGCTCACCTGGCTACCCCCTGCACAGTCGGGGACTCCAGGAGTCGCCATCTGCCTTCGGCTGTCCCGCATCCAAGGACGCCCCTAGACTAGGATGCTGCGGGAGAAAGGCGAGTGTGTCCGTGGGGAGAAATTGTCGGTCACTCTCCTGCCCCCAACACTGTCTGAACCGGTCTCTTCTCCTGCCTGCATTGGCGCAAATACCATCCCCCTACTTCCCCCTCCTCCCTTCCGGACCCGCTGTCTCCAGGTCTTCAGGAGTGAATGACCTATCCCAGCTCGTCGCTCTTCAATGAAGGCTGTGGCCTTTTCGCCCTCCCCAACCCTCCCCACCTACCCATAACAGAACCTACGGGTCCGTACCGCCTGCTCACACTTTGATAAGTCACAAACGGTTTCCATGCTTGGCAGAAGATTTTGTTGTACCTTATTACATTTTGGTTTGTTAGGAAATAAGGGGGAAAATGTAAAGAATAACAGAAGCATCATTTGTGTGGACAACATCCATCTCTCCCAAAGCATAACATTGTATGTGTCTGTGTAGACACGTATCTTTATCTAAAAGAAATCAGTCCAAATACATGTGAAGGATTCTCTTTCTTCCTAATCTTGTCAAATTCACCTCTCTCCCCAGAGTTCCCCACAGTCCTGAACCTAATGGTTATTGCTGCATGTTTTTTTTAATCCTATTATTACATACTGTGTATATGTCCATAATAACTGGCATTGTTTCTGAGCTTTATATAACCAGTATCACACTTGTCATTCTGCATCTTCTTTAGTGCAGTACAGTATCTCCGAGCTTTGTCCATGTTAATATTTTTAACTCTAGTTATTAAGTCATATTAACTATTATATTGTATTCCATTGCCGGGTACACCCTAATACAGTTCTTTTCCTGTTAGTGACTATTTTAGGTTGTTTCTAGTTTTTAATGTTACAGCATGGCAGTGAACATTCTACATGTTGTGCACTTACACAGGAATTTCTTTAGCAGGCTTACCTGTAAGTGAAATTTATGGAATGTATGGATTGAAGGGAATGTGGAATTCTGTTGCTTGCTCTCCCCCCACTCACCGCCCCCCCCCCCCCCCCCCCCCCCCCCCGCCCTGTCCAGAGGATTGCGGTTCTGAAACATAGACTGGGAATTTTAGTGCTAGTAGGAACTTAAATAGCCAACTTTTTTCAGCATAAATATAAAAAAGCAGCCCCACAATCATGATTAGTGTCAGAATTGTAGTTCTGGAAGGGAGCATGGAATGGTGGAAAGATGTTATGTTGGGTTTTGGAGTTCAGATTTTGACTCCTATCTTTTTGGATCTTGAGTACTTACCTGTAAAGGGGCACTCAGGGTTATTGTTAAGGTTAATTGATTGATCAAATATAATTAGTCTGTTCCATCCATTTACCATGCACAAACTATACCAAAATGCCTCTCTAGCTGTCTTAGAGGTAAAGGCAGGAGAAGAGACTGGTTCAGCAAAATAAATACCAGAAAAAAGTTAAAAGTCACTAGCATTGATGTTTCCCTTTTGTTTCTTTGAGTCATTTTGGAAGGTATATAGACTATTTTATCTTTCCTTTGATTCTCCCTTCTAAAGAAATTTTAACCAAAGAGCATGTAATAAGCCAATGTTTTGACCAGTTAAAATTCAAAAACAATTAAACAGTCACTGTTGTATTTTTGTGTGTTCTTGTTTGTAGGGCTAATTCATTCATTTAAAACTGTTCTTTGAGATTACATTCTCACTATAGGTGTTAATGGTCCTTCATGAAAGGATGGCTAAGATGTGTGATAGGGTTGGTTGGTGATTGTGTTGTTTGTTTTCACCTTCCCTTTTCAGTATAATTAAGTTTTACCAACCCATATAGGTCCCAAATTTTATTTCGAAATTATTAGTCTGTAAATCCAAAATCTCAGATACTCTATTGTGCTGTATTCAAGACTATAATTTACTGATGGCTAGGACCTTTTTAAGGATAACATATCCTGTAAAGGGTTGCCATTTAGCATAAAGAACTTGATAATTATTCAATGTGAAATTGGCCTGAGTACCAGTCTAAATGAAGGAACAATTAACTAGAGTCACAAAATGAGCCAAGCAAAGGATGTTAATTTAGGTATCTCAAAGACAAATCCAGTTGTGATTTCTTTTTAAAGACTATTTCACAAGGACCTTCTAATGGAATGTTTTTATTTCTTTCCTGAAGAGGGGAGAAACATTGTTTTACTTAGAGTTTTTTTCCAAGTGGCTGACTGCTTTCTCAGAGATTGAATCTAGATGGTACTTGACTTAAGTCTGTAGGGTATAGTGGAGGTGGCCCTGGCCCAGCTCCCATTCAGGCTCTTTGCATTTGGCTGAGTGGTGTTGGCACAGTTGCCCCAGTGCCAACACATGCTGCTTTTGGCTTGAAAAGACATCCTAACCATGCAAGCTGGAGACAGTATGAATAGCCTTTCATCAATATAAACACAAAATAAACCTTTTTTCCTTTTTAAAAAAGTGCCTGCTCTGACTGCTAGTACTAATAAGTAGACTTTTAAGGTAGCTAAATTAATGAGTGGATTGAGAGATTCAGTGTATCAGTATGATATGATGCTTAACATTTTTTTCTGCTGTTTCATTTTCTTGAACAGAAACACCGTGCTGGACAGCCAGCGTCAGCAAAAGCATTATGGAATCACCTCTCCAATTAGCTTGGCATGTCCTAAAGAAATTGATCATATTTACACACAGAAATTAATTGATGCCATGAAACCATTTGGAGTGTTTGAAGATGAAGAAGAATTGAACCATAGGTATGTCACTTAAAAAATGCAAAATATTTTACAGTATGTTGTTTAATGATTCTGCAGACATATATCAGGTAGCTACTGTGTCCCTGCCTAGGAATTTAAAAGGAGGAGGAAATGAAGAGAAATCTTGACCCTCCTGAAGCTTACATTTTAGGTGGAGGTTAGGGAAGGAGACTAACAATTAGACAAATAAGTAAAATAAATCATGTTGCATGTGATGAATGCTGCTGAGAAAAGAGTAGTGTAAGAAAAATAAAGCTGGAAGTGGAGATTGTCAGTGAAGGTTCCATTAACAACTCAGGGAAAATTTGAAGGTACAGGATGGAACTATGTGAATAGTTGAGGGAAGAGCATTCTAAGCAGAAGGTTTGAGGTGGGAGTATACCTGCTTTGTTTAAGGAATATATAGCAAGGTAGCCTGGGTGTATGAAGCAAGGTAAATAAGCAGGGAAATATGGCCTTAAAGAAAGTGAGGTGGAAAGGTGTTTGGAGGGGAAGGTAACTTAGGACATTGTAAGCTGTTAAAGAAGTTTTCACTTTTACTCTGAGTGAAATGGGAAGCTGTTAGGGCTTTGACCAGAAAATTGACGTGATTTACTTATGTTTTAACAGTCTCAGGCTCCTGTATGGAGAATATTCTGAAGTGGGATCAAGTCTGAACTGGGGAAACTAGGTAGAAGGATATTCTAAGAATCCAGGGAGGAAGTGATGGTGGTCAGAACTAGGGGAATGGCAGTGGCTGTGATAAGAAGTAGTAGAATTTTGGACATGTTTTATAAGTAGAGTTTGTAATGACTGTGGAATGCAAGAGAGAGAAAGGGGGAGAGGGGATCAAGGATGATGCCAAGGGTTTTGGTCTCAGCCCCTCAAAGGATAGAATTTCATTACCTGGGGAAGGCTGAGGGAGAAGCAAGTTTAGACAGATCAGGAATTCAGTTTTTCATGTTATCTTTGAGATACTTAAAGTCTACTTTTCTTAATGTGGATTTGGATATGCCATTGAGTACAAATTTATTTTAATATCAAATAGCTTTTATTAAGAATATACATCATAAAAATTAGCCAGTAATTAACTTACCCTTTTTAATTATCCAAAGATCTATGGCTTTCAATGAGAGAATGCAAATCTCTATTATTACCACATTGAATTGATTTTATTCTATAGTAAGGCCCAAAAAGTTGACAACTCATTTGGCCTTTGCCACCTTATTGAAGGTAATTTTGACTTTATTAGGCTTTTTGAATTTTGAAAATAGCTCAAAGACCCAAATACTATTATCACATTTATCGTCTCTTTGGAACTCTTAGGGACCTAAGAATGCCAAAGAGATGTGCCATGTATCAGCAGATGTGATCGCATTAACATGTGTATAATATGCTTTTACCCTAACAACAACACGAAGGTACTGCCTATATGTTTAATTATTTTTAAAAGTATTGTCTGTTTGTCTGTTTGTTTGTTTGTTTTAATCTAAAGCATGCTATTTTTTATTATAGGCTGGTTGTTCTTGGTAAATTGAACAATTTAGTAAAAGAATGGATTTCCGATATTAGTGAGAGTAAGGTAAGACTTCAGACTACAATGAATTTGTAGTTTCTTTACATCCTGGTCTTTCGTCCTGGTTAAGATGCAGGAGTTGAGAATAATCTTAAATACATTAAAACTGGCTCTTTGGTATACTTAGTAATAAATTGGTCTAAAATTCAGACAGTTAAGTCTCTCAAAAAAATGAGAATTTACCCCAGAGGTAGCCAATGTCTAGCTAAAATTTCACATAAATGTTTTGCAGGACTCATAGTAGTGGGCCACAATTTAAAAATAAAGAGATTTTACTTAAAAAGCCAGATTTCAGGCTTCTTGTGAAATTCCAGGTCTGGCAATACTAGGCCTGCCTTTGTGGAAGGCAGGAAGAGGCTTGAATGGAATTGGTCTCCTGCCCTCCAGGAATGTCTCATAGTTTCCACCACTCCCTACCCTCTCAGAAGAAGCAGCTGTCATTTATCAATCAGGTTCTGTATTTCTTATGGGTACCTCTCATTTGCATACCTGCCTGGCCCCTGAGACATAGGAGTTTGCAAACCCTAATTTATAAGTACACAACTTTTTCTCCTGTGGTAGCCTAACTGTTTGTCTCCTAAAATCGACCACATTTTTCTTACTTTCTTAGTTTTTTTAATGTAATTGAATTTTTATTTGGGAATCATCACTATGAATATTATTTTACTGTCTGTACTAAAATGAGGTAGGACATGTTCAACTGGATGGTACTATTTACCCCCTAAGAGGCCCAAACTGTTGTCTTTTAATTTTTTGTTTGTTTTTTATAGTTTTCCCATCTTGCCCTTAACAGCCATCAGCTGTAAGTTAATGTCTCATAGCAGTCAGTGCATTTCTCTGCAAACTCCCTTTCTAGTCTTTAATCTGCATGGGTTTAGAAATTACATAAACACCTATTAGACTTCTTTTCTTTACAGCTTTTATCATTTCTTTCTATACCTATGATACATATTTAAAATTGGTTCTTTTAAACAAAACTGTGAATAAGGTTGTAAGAGAGCCTGCTAAATCTGTAGTCACTGCATTTAAATAAATGGTCTTTATGCTGTTTACTTTTGTTGTCATATGAATATTGGCTCATTTCTGAGCTCTCAGCAGGGTTAGCAATAGTTGAAGTTTTCATATAAGTTGAATTCTGATCAGGTTAAGTGCTAGTCATGAGTTATAAAATTTATGTTAGTTTCTCTGCTACTAGGTGATCAACTCCTTAAGAGAAAGACCTGTCTCATTCACCTGTACAACCCCAGGACAGGGCTTAGGTATTAAATAAACATTAGGGAAACCTGTTGCCCCCCCTCTAATCAGCTGTAATTAGAGTGGGTGTGCAAACCATATACCCAACTTGCTAGAATTATTTTGTAAAAGCAAAGTAACAAGGTTCATAATTTCTTGTGTATGGTCTTTATGTCAGCTACTGTGGCTGTGCAGAGGTCTTTGCTTCCATCCCCATTCAAGGATGCATTCAAGATAAGCCATGTTATTATGTGCAAAAAGAACTAGATTAATTTGTTGGGAGATGCACCTAATTTTCTTACTGCATGGTTTATTTGCACTTAAAGGAAAAATCAGCAGAATCCTGTTTCAAAGTCAAAGGTTTCTTTTTTAACTAATAAAATTGCTTTTTATTTCATTTTAATTACTAGTGCTTTAATCTGCAAGAACCAGTAGCTGGTTTTTATTTAATGGTTTATGCGTAAAACCATTGTTAAAAACTTGAAACTTTGCCACAATCTGTCTTTTTTCTAAAGCTAAGTAAATAATTTTAAAAAGTTTAAATTGGTTTTAACACCTTCTACTGCATGGATAAGGTAATTGGTCATTTTCTGTATCAGTTATATTTCCCTTTCATTTATTCATGTTTTAGTTTGTAAAATATCTGAAGGACTTGAGTTTGATCGAAGATAATTTGAATATTCTACACACAATTGACATATTTAAACTTTAAACAGTCCAGAACTACAAATCATTTTCTTTTTAATCATTCTGTTTTTTAAATGTTTTTATTTTATTTTTTTGTGTAAAGTATATTTATTTACATTGTCTCTTTTGAAACAACAGCCCTTTGAGAAGACTGAAGTTGTAATGACTTACTTCCTGTTTTCCTATCTTGCAATATTTTTAAGGCTAATGCTACATAATATAGTATAATTAAGAACTGAATGTGTTCTGGCTGGTATGGCTCAGTGGATTGAGTGCTGGCCTGCAAACCAAAGGGTCGCTGGTTTGGTTCCCAGTCAGGGCACATGCCTGGGTTACAGGCCAGGTCCCCAGTAGGGGGCACTGGAAAAGCAACCACACATTGATGTTTCTCTCCCCCTTTCTCCCTCCCTTCCCTTCTCTCTAAAAATAAAATAAAATTTAAAAAAAAACAAACTAAACTAAATTTAATGCTAATTCATCCCAGTTTAATAAAGAAACTGAAATGAAGCTCAAAGAGATTAAATCACTTTAAAAGGAAAGAAATAATGTAGAGAAATAAGTGAACCTATATTTTGAACAATAGACTTAAATATTACATTTATTATTTCATTTAACAATTATAACAAGGCCACAGAGAGGTTTCCTATCACCCGTAGTCATTTGTTTATCTGATGTTGCTTGTTCCATCTTTTTCTGACTAGCTCTTTCCATATTTGCTTCTAGTGATGCCCTCTTCTCACCTCTTGGCTTCCATTGTATCCTGAGTTCTCCTGGTTTTCCAGTCTTCTTCTTGGATGTTTCTACTCAGTCTCCTTCATGAGCTTTTCTCTCTTTTGCCATATTTTAAATGACACTATTCCCCTGGGTTTTATCCTTGGCTGTCTTCTTTCTTGTGTATATCACCTCCTATTATTTCAGTGTTGATGGTTTCCAAAACAATATCTTTAAACCTGATTGCTTCCCAGAATTCATGCATCTGTATTCAACCACCTACATGCTATCTTTTTTCTTTTTTACTGTTTTTTTGTTTTTTTCCGTTACCACTTATCCCCTTATGTCTCTCTTCCCCCAACCCCTGCAATCACCACACTGTTGTCCATGTCCCTGAGTCCTTTTTCCTTTTTGCTCTATCCCTCACCCCCTCTCCCCCCTGAGCTGTCATCCTGCTCTATCTATGAGTCTGTCTCTATTTTACTTGTTCAGTTTCTTCACTAGATTCCACATATGAGTGGAATCATGTGGTATTTGTCTTTCCCTGACTGGCTTATTTCACTTATCACAGTGTTCTTCAGGTCCATCCATGCTGTCACAAAGAGTAAAATTTTCTTCTTTTTTACAGCCAAGTCGTATTTTTCTTTTGTTGGTGACACTATTACAGATGTCCTCATTTCCCCCTTCCTTTGCCCACCTTCGTCCATCCTTCACCCTCACCTTTCCTCTGGCTGTCTCCACACTTGTCTGTGTCTCTGAGTTATGCATGTATGTTTTTTGGCTAATCTCTTCACCTTTTATCATCTAATCTTCCTCCCCTTACCCCTCTGACAGCTGTCAGTCTGTTCCATGTGTCCCAAATCAAATCATTTCATTAGGTTTGTGGCTGAAATATTTTACTCTGCAGTTCAGTGTGTTACTTTTTCATAAATCATGCAAGAATCATATTCTTCAAAGTAGGAAGGTATGAAGGAGGAAGGTAAACTAAAAGATCCTGGCCTCTGTATCCCTTTGAATCACGCGAATCATCCAATTTACCCACTCTGGCTATAAAATTATTTGTGATACCCTTGAAACATTAATATCCATTAAGCAGAGGAAGTAACAAACAACATCCTATTATACATATATTGTTATTCAAGTTATTGGCAAATATTATTCTTTGGAACCTGTACTGGGCATTTTGAGGAAATAATAGAAGTTGGAGACATAGTTCTCACCTTCCAAGGAATTTAAATATAGTCAAAGAGATAGAACTTAAACATAGAGGAAGAAAGGTCATTAAATATGGTATAAAAGAGGTTAACGATAATAGTAAAAGAGTAACTGAGGGGAAATAAATAGCTCATTATGGAGGGGAAGATAATTAGAGAAGTCTTCATAAAAGAGGGGGAACTTGAAGAGAACTTTGAAAAATAGATGGTATTGAGAGAACCAGAAAGGGTGGGCAAGCATTCAAGGCAGGGAAAACAGCGAATGCAATGGTAAGGAGACCAGATTATGGGACATGTTGGCAGTTGGAGCTTCAGAAGAGAATATCAGGAGAAAAGGCTAGAAAGATCCATAGGAGCATTGTGTGTAAATCCTTAGGATCCAAGGATTCTCACCTCAGTAGTCAGGGAAAAATGCATTGGCAAATTTTGAATAGAAGAGTTATATTGAGTAATTTCAGAACATCAGTCAGTGAATTTTGTACAAAGTGGAGTAAGAGAAAATAAAGACTATAGGACAAGAGGATAGTTTTATGATACTATTAAATAGCCTAGAATTGGTGTGGTAGTTGAATATAAAGGAGATGACATAAGAGATGATATAAACTAAGAATTGTAAGCCAAGAAGAATGACTGTAGGTATGGGCAGAAAGGGAAATGAGGAACAGAAATAAAGAAATCAGGAGAGATACCTGGTTTATCATAGAACTTTTTGCTCATTTTAGGCATGGATATTGAATTGATCAAGAATGTCCAAGTGAAAATATCTGATGGGCAGTTAGAATTGGCTCTAGAGAAAAGTGAAAAGTAGCATTATAATTCTAGTACAATCAAAAGGATGTTAAAGTTCTATTAGCGCTCATAAAGAAATCATGTCGAGATGACCTCTTGCAGAAAGGTTGCTGAGCTAGAATTGAGAAATTAAGCATATCTGTCACAAAAACCAAAGGGCAGATGGGATTAGTCAAGAGTATGATAATGTAGAGAGCTGAAGGCCCATTTATTTGGTAAAGTTCCTTGTGACTCTTGAGATTGTTGGAGCCAGAGACAGGCAATTGTAGGGGACAAGTAGGATCACATGATAAGTAGTTTTTCTTAAGATAGAAATGTGCACCTGTAGTGGGCATGAATTTGTATTGTCTTCCCTCTAAGGATATCCTCATTACTTTAAGCTGTAACCAAAAGACCTCTGAATATTTTTTACAAATCTCAACAAAGTTGACAAATACAACATACATCTCTAGCATTTGGCCAATTTTTTGCTAAATAATTTGAACAATTGAATCCTTTTGTTTAATTTTATTTTAGAATCTCCCGCCTTCTGTTGTGGCTACTGTTGGTGGTAAAATATTCACATTTGGTTCCTATAGGCTTGGAGTACACACCAAAGGTAACTGCTTTTCTATGTTCTACTGATAAGCACTTCCAACAACAAACTTTTATTTGTTCATAATTTAAAAATACAGAAGAAAAAATTCCCATTATCCCACTCTTCAGAGCTAATTATTGTTAACATTTTTCTATATTCATTACATACTTTCTTGTACATGTGTTTGTGTGTACTTAACAAAAATATAATATATCATACATTCTTCTGGATAAGAAATACTTTGAATTGCAGGAGCTGACATTGATGCACTTTGTGTAGCTCCAAGACATGTGGAAAGATCTGATTTTTTTCAGTCATTTTTTGAAAAATTGAAACATCAAGATGGCATTAGAAATTTAAGAGTAAGTATCCTCTGGTATTTAATATTTTGACTTTGTTAACAAATAGCTGTAAAAGCTAGGGCTTATGATTGTTAAGATATTTCCTAAGAAGTTACTGTATCTTGTTAAAATAATGTATAATGACTGAGAACATGGGCTTTATAGTTTGACAGATCTGGATTTGCATCTAGAAATCTAGCACGTATTAACTCTTAGATTTTTGATCAAGTTACCTATTATCTCAGAGCCTCTTTGCTCATTTGCAAAATGGAGAAGGGGTAATAACATTTTTATAAGGCTTCTTTGAGGATTGATGAGATAATTTACACATAAATAAAATTCAATTAGTATTGAATAGTAACTCTTTATATGTGTATATCTAGCCATTATGTCAATAAAATTTAAGCACCATTGATTCATCAAATACTGGCCTTAGCCCCACAGATACAATGGTGAACAAGACATAGTTTATGGGAGGGAGACTGGAGAACTAACTGAATGAATACTTTTAATACAATCTGAGGTGCTAGGATCAGATGAAATTTAAAAGATCTTTGTTATTTGGATGTCTGGAAATGGAGGAAATTAAAAATTTGCTATGTTGAGGGGTTAAGGAAGGCTCAGAAAGACATTTCTTTTAAATTCAAACTATATTGACTGTACTATTTTTTTGGTAGATCAGTTATGAGTTCTGATTGTATTTTAATTTCTAATAGTGCTCTTTGTAAATGATCAGTTTTCAATTTAATCTCCACAAATAGTTAAGTCTTAGGTGATAGCAGTTCTGTGTGCCAGTTTATAATGTATATTTTTAGGAGGAGAATAGGTTAGATAACAGCTGTCATAGACATTTTTTCTATCTTAGGTAACACAGTCACAAAGTAGAAGTACTTACCTAGAATGTGAAACTAAGTACATTTTCACTTTTTCCGTTGAGGCAAAATAAATTTGGGAACAAAGGTATTCATATTATTGGCAATTAGGAAGGGTGTAGAAAGGTTTATACCTTATATATAATTGTTTTCTTATTTTCTAGGCTGTAGAAGATGCTTTTGTACCGGTTATAAAATTTGAATTTGATGGAATTGAAGTAAGTGTTTTAAGTATTTTTCTGGCTTTACAATTGAACTATTTAACCCATAAGGGATTTTTTTTTAGTTGTTTTTTTAAATCAGACTTTATTAATTTGAAGAATCAAATAGCCTTTAAATAGTCCCTCATCTTTCTCTGTCCTTTATCTATTGACTTCTTTCTCATCATGGAAAATGAACCAACTTCCATTCCTACCCCATTCATCTCATTTCCATGACCTCCTAAAATAGTAATATTTTTATAATTTTGCCTGAAACAATATTTAGTGTTTACATTATTATGATCTTACAAATAATGTTCAAAACTGAGCACAAAGTATCTAGATTACCTTTTTTTACTTTGTGGCACTTTGTTTTCTTAGGAGGTAATTGCTCTGAGATTTGTTTGCTTGGGCTTTAAATTTAAGACTAATTCAAAACCACCCTGTCCTTAGTTGTCTAAATCACCTTTAAATAGATTTAGATTTCTCAGGTATTCTGTAATCATCCTGAAAAAATATCTCAGTCTTCTCACCTATTCCAGTCCACATTTACCATTCTCTGTGGCTAATATGCTAATATAGAGCTGTCATCCTGACATCTTTTTTTTTCCCCTCCACTGTCATCCTGGAAATTTCTTTTTGCCTTTCTCTAGAGTTTTCTTTCTTGACTCTCATTTTAGTGGCACTCATCCACTAGCTTCCTGAGAAAGAGCACATGTTTTTGAGATCTAGCATTTTTAAAAATGTCTTTATTCTTTTCTCAAGGGAAATTGGTAGTTTGGCTGAGTAAGGTGTTCCACATGGAAAATAATAGTTCTCAGAATTTTGACAGTCTTGCTTTCACTGTCTTCTAGCTTCCATGTTATATTGAGAAGTGTAATGCCATTTTGATTCCTCATCCTTTGTATGTGATCTGTTAATCTTTTTGGACACTTGCATGATTTTTTTTCCTAGTCTTCACAGTTGTAAAATTCATGGTAATATATATTAGTCTGTGTCTTTTTAGTCAGATGCTAGGGTTTGAACTCGTATTCTTCAGTTCTTGGAGATTATATTGACTTCTGTTGGATTTCCTGCCTTTGTTTCCTCTCTCCTCTCTGGAACTCCTAATATTTGTGTATTGGACCTTGAGGATGCCCCCTCTTTTTTTATTAATCTTTTCCATGCCATTTACTGGCCATACCCACTTTTTATGGGTTTCTCATCTTCCAAAAATTTTTTTTTCCATTTCTGCTGTCATATTTTTAATTTCTAAGAATACTTTTTTATTCTCTAAATATTTCTCTTAACTTATGTATGTATTTATAGCTTCTGTTCTTATTCCCAGGTTACAATATTTTTTTGTCTTTGTTTTCGTAGATCTGCTGAGTCTGTTACTACTTTGCCCATCTGCTTTCCAGCTTTTGTAATTTTTGCTTTTGTCTTGTATTTTTCTTTGTCCTAGTGGATTATGTCTTTAAAAACAAAATAAAACTAAACAAAAAGAAAACAAAATTTTGCTGGTATTTTAGAGTTGCCAAGAGGAGGTGAATGTAAATGCGTGTTGGATCTGCCATCTTTATCTAGAAATTCATAAGATTTAAAATTTTTTTAAATCAAATTAAAATGCTTTTGTTTAATTTGAAGATTTAATTGCCCTCACAAAACTTTTCAGTGATTTCCCATGTGAGATTGCCTACATAGGCTTTTTGAAGTTTTGGTAGAATTTCCAAAACTAGTAATTACAACTTTTTACATTTTTGAAGTGGGGAGGGGGAAGAATGGACTAGAAGGAGAAAAAAAATAATATTTTTCTCTTTTTTTTACATCTTCCAAAGATCGATCTAGTCTTTGCAAGACTGGCAATACAAACCATATCAGATAATTTAGATCTAAGAGATGACTCTCGACTGAGAAGCCTTGATATAAGGTGTATTCGCAGCCTAAATGGTAAGCTTCTAAAAAGACATCTGAGCTACCTTCCTGAAAAATTTTTAACAAATTGAGATCTTTTTGTGGAACTTTTAATGGACTTCTTTAAGGAGATTGAACTAACAGTTTAAAAATGATGGTGTCATTTTCTTCATACAGGTAATCTGATTACATTTAAGCATCTTTAAAAGAAATTTGTTTGAATGTTGTTTATGTTTTTAGTAATGGTTCTCAAACATATTGGTCTCAGGACCCCTTTACACTCTAAAAATTTAGTAAAGACCCCAAAGAAAAAATCTTCTGTTTACATGGATTATATCTAATGTTGACCATTTAACATGATCAGTCTTTACCATATCAGAAATAAAAACTGAGAAAATTTTGAAGGTTTACTAGTATTAGTTCATTTTAAAATAACCATAGTGTATCCATTATAAGTGAATATAAATACATTTTTATGTGAGCAGTGGCTTTTTTTGCATCTTTGCAGATATTTTGATATTTGACTTAATAGAAGACAGCTAGATTTTCATATCTGCCTTGTAATCAATCTCTTACAATATTTTGTTTTGATTGATGCATAGGAAGAGAATCTGACCTCTTAAAGATGTGTAATTGGAATAGGGAGAAGTGTTTTAATAGATTTTTCAGATAATGGTGGATATTCTTTGATACTACACTAAAACTTGACCATGTGACAGTTTTTTTCTTTTCCACAGCTTTATTGAGGTCTAATTATATACTGTAAAATTTATCCTTTTTATGTGTACAATTTAATAGTCTTTAGTATATTCAGAGTTGTGCATGACAGTTTAGACAATTTTAGAATATTTTCATCATTCTCAAAAGATCCCTCGTACCTATTTGCAGTCATTCCCCTTTTCAAACCCCTGGTCCCAGACAACCACTAATATACTTTCTATTTCTATAGATTTGCCTTTTCTGGACATTCGTATAAATGATTTCACACAATATGTGGTCTTTTGTGTGTCTGGCTTTTTTCACTTAGTACAATGTTTGTGAATTTCATCTCTGTAGCATGTATCAGTAGCTTGTTCATTTTATTGCTGAGTAAAAGTGATCTTTTTTTAAAGGTTAGAATATTGAAGCTAAAATCCTGTCAACTTTTTATACTCTATTACATTAAAAATCCATTGATCTGTCTTATTCTTTGACTGGATCTTTTACCTGTGCATGATTTTTTACTGTCATGCCTTGATCTTTTAGAAAATACTGGTTCACAAAGTTATTTGGCTCCACTAAATGTTAATTCACATTTCATTATAAAATATCCAAAAAAATCACATTCATTAATATCACCAATTTTTTATCAGAAAAGGGTTTTTTCCCCCATGTCAGTAAATTTAGAAGTCTTTTAAGTATCAGAATGCAAGCTCACAGTAGCAGACACTAGTTGTCCAAAATTCTGATTTTTACTTGGAAGCTCAAATTTATTATAGTCAACAAATTTTGTCATTTGTTTTCCTTGATGCAAGACTCAGTTTGTTTTTAGAAAATATATGCTACATATCTAAGTGTGAATAACTATAGTTTGCCCATCAGTCATTCCAAGTAAAACTGGTATTTCTCGATGAAAGCAGGTAGTTGAACTTACCTCAAACATTTTCATATATCTGCACAGTTTCTTTTCCTGTCTTCTAACTGCAAATGTGGGGCAGTAAATATAGGTCGTCTGCTTAGTAAAATGTTGCCACAGCTTTGATTCACTGCTATGGTACCAGCAGTTTTCCTCACTACTGCCCTTTGTACCATGAGTGCAAATGTTAATACAGTGAAACAGGCAAAGAAAGCCTTAATGTAATTACAAAAATATTGGGTTGGCCAAAAAGTTTGATTTATTTTTCTGTAAGATGGCTCTAGTAGTGCTTAGTTGTCTATAACTTCATTCAAAACAATTTTGTTAAATTATATTGTGACAATTGTCATATCAGCATGCATTTAAAAAACAAAAAATGGGTGAATTTTTGTGTAGCCATTTTAATATTGAAGATGGAAGAAAATAATACAACATTCTCAGCATACTATGTTTTATTATTTCAAGAAAGGTAAAAACAACTGAACTGCAAAGAAAGATTTGTGCAGTGTATGGAGAAGGCGCTGTGACTGATTAAATGTGTCAAAAGTGGTTTGCAAAGTTTCGTGCTAGAGATTTCTCTCTGGACAATGCTCCATGGTCGGCTAGATCAGTTGAAGTTGCTAGCGATCAAATCGTGACATTAATTGAGGACAATCAATATTCTACCATGTGGGAGATAGCTGACATACTCAAAATATCCAGACCAGTAAAGTTATTGGTGAAAGTGAAAAATGTGTCTTTTATTTTATGGGAAAAAACTCAACAAACTTTTTGGCCAACCCAGTAGGTTTGATATAACAGATTCCCAGGGGTCCACTGACTGTATTTTGAGAATTACTGGTTTATAGTATCTGTTGTTTAACTGAATCATTGTGTTTTGCTGTACTTCCAGAGTGCAACAGTAAAGCACAGTGTTTGTGGATAAGGTTTGCATTAAAGCAGTAACACTTTTATAACTTGGGGTCATTTGACTAACAGTAAAGTCAAATGTGGAAGAAAGCTAAAAAGATAGACGTGTCTCTTATTTTAGTATTGGATTGCTTTACCTATGTGCTTTTGAATTCCAAAAGCAAAGTGATTTTTCATATATAAGTTCTAAATTTTGAAGACAGAAAATGAACCCTGACATTTTATTACCTTTGATATTTTTAGCATTTAAGAATCTGGAGGTTAGAAAGACATTCAAGCTGTTTTTGTTGCATAATGAAAAATAAATGCTTTATCTTTTTCAGGCTGTAGAGTTACTGATGAAATTTTGCATTTAGTGCCAAATAAAGAAACTTTTAGGCTCACACTAAGAGCAGTCAAATTATGGGCAAAACGTAAGTATCCCAACTCTTTTATTTTTTAATTATAAAATCATAATTTTCAGATGCTAATGATAGAAGCAAAGATGAAAATCCCTGAGTATATTGATACTGGGGGATTGAGGTCCAATAAGATTGGAGAAGCAGTTTCTTTTTCAGGTGCAGTGGTTATGGTGCTATAATGTGTGACTTTGCCTCCTTCTCCCTTGGGTGAAAACTGAAAAACACCCAACTGTCCATCCTAGGTTTCAGCCAGGCAGTCAGAATGAGTTAGGGCTTGAAGAGTGCAACCCTCCCAGGTCTTTGAGCTCTCTGTGGGCAGTACCATCTTACTTATCTTTGTCTCCCCTTCACCAGCAAAGCTTATGGTAGATGTTTAGTAAATTTATTAAATGAAGAATCTACAGTGATAGTTTTAACTTGTTTTTACATTGTAACACTTTTCTAATAAAACCTGGAACTGCACTAGTTGATATATTTATATATGACATGGTTGACAGCCTAGTCCTGAGTTGGCAGAGCACATGTGTACAGTTTGTAACTACAGAAATAGTACTATACTTCTGGCACCAGGTTTTACGTAGTTTAAAACGGTGCTTTCCAATGAAACTTTCTGGAAATGATAGAAATGTTTCCTATCTCTGCTGTCCAGTACAGTAACCATATGGCTACCAAGCCCTTGAAACATGCAAGTAAGGAACTGAATTTTTAAATGTTATTTAATTTTAATTAATTGTAAAAGAATTCTAAGAGAAATGAAAAGATATGTTCACACAAAAACTTAAACACAAATGTTCATAGCAGCATTATTCATAATAGTCAAAAAGTAGAAACAATCTCATGTTCATAAATGGATGAACAGATGAACCAAAAATGGTTTATCCATAACATGATGTATTATTAGGCAGTAAAAAAGGGATGAAATATTGATATATGTTACAACATATATGAACATTGAAACCATTATGTTGAATGAAAGAAACCAGTCATAAAAGACCACATATTATAAAATTCTGCTTATCTGAAATGTCCAGAATAGACAAATCTATAGAGACAAAGTAGATTACAGGTTGCTTAGTTTAGGAGGGTTGGTGGGCACGTAAGAGGGCTGTGACCGTTTAAGGTCTCTTTTGGGGATGATGAAAATGTTCCAGAATTGATTGTAGTAATGGTTGCACGATTAAAAGCCATTGAATTTTATACTTGAAGTGGATGACTCTTACAGTGTACAAATTATTTCTCAATAAAGGCTGTTACCAAAAGGGAAAAAAAAGATAGCCATATGTAACTTGTGGCTGCCATGATATTGGATAGTGCATGTCTAAATAGAGCTTAAGTGAGCAGAATTTGTCCCTTAGCTCAGTTACCTTGTTTGCATAGTCAGAATAAAGTAGTTTGCAGTGAAAGGATATCAAACGATTTGTCTTTTCGTTACAGATTAAATTAAATACCATGTTTTGTTCATTCTGGGATACATATTTTTAATGTTTAACATATCTGAAATTGATCATTTGTATTTTTCTCTTGCTTGTTTACTGGGATATAAATTGAAGGGATCTTAGGTTTTATGAAATATGGTAATGCTTTTTTATAGATTGCTGTAAGAAACAATCGTACAAGAAATGAGTAGTATCAATGGTGTGCTGTACTTTATGGGAAATACCCAAATTATACAAAATACTGAAGTTAGTCCCCGACTTTATACCTGATTTTAAAATGCCCATGAATATGATTTCTAATGAAATGTTTTTTCTTCCCTGCTTATACCCTCCACATACTTTGCCTCTTTTTTTTTCATTTCTTTCTCAACCATAAATGTTGGGATGTGGGAGATTCCAAAGTTGTATCAGTAGAGCCTAGGTGGGCAGTCAGAACTGAGGCAGGGAATGGGAGTGTCTATAATGGAAGGCAGAGTAGCTTATGGTTTACTAATAAGACTATGGGCCTAGCATCAAGGTCTGCTTGTTGATTTTAATGTTTCTATAAGGGAAAGGATTTCTAATTAACAGTCTTAGGAAGGAAGTAATCCTGTTCTTTACTGTTGATTGACATGGATACTAGGTCCAAACAAATAATTAACAAATATATTAATTTTATAGGACGTGGTATTTATTCCAACATGCTTGGATTCCTTGGTGGTGTCTCTTGGGCAATGCTAGTTGCGAGAACTTGCCAATTATATCCAAATGCAGCAGCTTCTACTTTAGTTCATAAGTTCTTTTTAGTTTTTTCCAAGTGGTAAGTATTCATATGCATACTTTCACTATTTACTAACCTCTGCCTATATGTCAATTTGTTTGGAAATTTAAAAGCTATGCATAGACTCATAGACTTTTTCTGTTGTCTAAGTCCTTTTTTAAATTAGAACTTTAAGCCCTGGCTGGTGTGGCTCAGTGGATTGAGTGTTGGCCTGTGAACCAAAAGGTCACCAATTCAGTTCCCAGTCAAGGCACATGCCTGGGTTGAGGGCCAGGTCCCCAGCTGGGGGCATATGGGAGGCAACTGATGGATATTTATTGCCGTTTCTTTCTCCCTCCCTCCCCGCTCTAAAAATAAATAAATAAATAAATAATCTATCTTGAAAAAAGAAAATTTAAAAACATCAAAGTTGTGGCAACAGTGAACACCAGATGGCGCCTTCCAGGGGTCTGTAAATGTTGCACCTTTAGCTTGAGAGAGTGGTCACAATCCTAGCGAATACTAGCTATGTGGAGGTGGTTTAAGATGTCATACGTAAAATGGAGTTGATAATCATAGCTATTGCAGCGATTTTTTAGGAGTATTTTCAATAAATATTAGCTGTTGCTGTTATTATCAGAGTTAAATCCATGAAAGTAAATGAAAAGGAAGGGAAAAATTCAGATTTAAATCAAATGCAGCTAATGGGCAAGTATTTGCCCTTTCAGAGAACACTGCTTTAAAATAGGCAGCCTTTAACTTTGTATACTTTCTTTCCTTTCCTATTTTTTTAATACGAAATACCCCAAAAATTTGCTGTGTGAAAGTTGGAACGAAGTCTAATGATTTTAACATTTTGTGTAGTTGCTGAAGTGAGGTCCTATGTGAGTTAATTTTCTTATTCATGTTAGGGAATGGCCAAATCCTGTGCTGCTGAAGCAACCAGAAGAAAGCAATTTGAATTTGCCTGTTTGGGATCCGCGGGTATGTGACTTGCTATAAATTTTCATTAAATCTTTTATGAAAAGGACAATTCTCTAAATTACAATCTAAAGATAATTCCTCTTGTGTGCTCATCTTCTGTTTAACTATAGTCCTTTCTCTTCCTCTGCTGTGTTTTTGATGCAGATGATGTGTTTCTCCAACGATAATCCAAATGTTATGTCATTAGAAACCCCCATATAAAACTAGATGAGTGGGTGTAGCAACCAAAATGTCATAATCCATTGTTAAAAACTGCCTTACAAATAATTAGTTTCTAATAATAAAGTACTGAAGTATATAAAAGATTTGCTTTGCAGTGCAATTTAAAGCAGATTCATTGTTCCAAGATAGCATAACTCTCACTCACCTTGCATTTTAATTTGCTTTTAGAGTAAGCGCTCATTTCTGTGAGTAACATAGAGAAAATTGTCCTTTGAGTTGGTGCAGAAAGAGGATTGAGAGCCATTGGACCAGATAATACTTTCTGCATCTATGATACTATATTTCCTTGTTCTAAAAGACCATTGTTTATAAGATGTACCAAGAGTTTAACAGTTTTTCAGGGGAAAAATAAACTTCTGCAGTTTCCTTTGACTGTCAGTTGCATCTGACTTAAGAAATAAATATAGTTGGGGAGTGGAAATGTGCTTCTTAGAAATGTGGAAATGAAGTATTAAATTTATATTTCATATTCTTCAGTCTTTTGGGGAAATCAAGTAAGAGAATAGATCATTTATTCTGCCTCTCATCTCACAGGTAAATCCATCAGATAGGTATCATCTAATGCCCATAATCACCCCTGCCTATCCACAACAGAATTCTACGTATAATGTGTCCACATCAACTCGAACAGTAATGGTAGAAGAATTTAAACAAGGTAAACCTGTTGGCCCTATTGCCCTTTACATAGCCCCATGTTTTGGTTGATAACGATTTAATTCTGTATTGCAGTTATGCCTATTATTTCTTAAAATTTTTTCAAATGTGTATTTATTTTTCCAGTAATTGGTTTTCCAGAATTTATGGTAATATTAAGGCCAAAAATGGAGCCAGCCCAATTTGGTTGAAACTGATATTTGTGTTCTGAGAAAGAACATAATAAATGTACATTATTTTTACTCAAGAATTTGGTGGAGTTAGAGGTTTGGGGGTAGGATAATACAGTAATACAGTAGATGATAATATGATGGTCAGTGTTCAAAATCAGTCTCTCAGTCTGCCTGTCTCTCTTTCTCTCTCTTTAAACTTAGGTCTCGCAGTCACAGGTGAAATTCTTCAAGGGAAATCAGATTGGTCCAAACTACTTGAGCCACCAAATTTTTTTCAAAAGTATAGGTATTTGAAATTTTTCATTTTGTGTATGTGTGTAAAGAAGAGAATTAAACTTAGAAAGTTAATATATGCTAAATGACAGTTGGCACTTACATTTCAGATAAGGTAAAGAATAGGTTAACAGAAACCTAAATGATGAGAGAATTTCTATTTTGTATTAGTGTCTAACCCTGTGTTAGTAGTGGGTTTTTGGTTTTGGTTTTTAGTGAATTATTTTTTAATTGAGGGTCTGGTATTAATTTTGTAAAAACAGAGTGTTTTGATTTTCATAAACTATGTGCCTGGATTAGTACTTTTGTTCACTAGGAAGGAGAAGGAAAAATTAATGATAGAAAAACAGACACTAACCATGTTTACGGCTTTTTTTTCCCTGATTGTTGCTGGAAATTCTTCATAGACATTATATAGTACTGACCGCCAGCGCATCGACAGAAGAAAACCATCTAGAGTGGTAAGACTTGTATTTCAAGTTCTGTACCTACTGTATGGTGATAACATTTATATGGTGTTTTATCATTCATTTATAAAACACTTTCTCTATTTTCAAAGTTATTAACTCATTGATGACTGTTGTACATGACCCTGGAGCATCAGTGTCTAAGAAATGCCATCAAATTAATGTTTCAGAATCAGAAGTGACACAAGATAATATGTGAACAGATCTTTGCCTTTTGTCACCTTTCAAAGTCAGGGGTTTTTTTTCAACATTTGATTTTCTTAACGATGCCTTTTTGTCATCTATTCATTTTTAGAGAGAGGGAATGGGAAGGAGGGAGAAAGAGAAACATAACTGTGAGAGAGAAACTGATCAATTAGGTTGCCTCTCGCATGCTTCCCCCAACTGGGGACTTGGCCTGCACAGTGGTAAGACTGTGCCCTGATGGGTAATTGAACAGGCAACATTTTGGTTTTCACACTGATGCTTAATCCACTGAGCCACACCATCTAAGGCTCAAAGTCAGTTTTAAGCAAAATTAAAACTTAATTAAAACTAGAAGGAAGAGACATTTTATGTATTTTTATTGTTTATTTTTAAACCTTTTTAAAGATTCTATTTACTTTTAGAGAGATGGAAATGGGGGGAGAGAGGGAAACATCGATGTGTGAGAGATACATGGACCAGTTGACTCTCACACGCCCCCAACGAGGGACCTGGCCCACGAGCCAGGCATATGCCCTGACCAGGAATCAAACCCATAACCTTTCAGTTCACAGGCCAGCATTCAGTCCACTGAGCCACTCCAGCCAGGGCTTATTTATTCTTTTAATTTAGGAGATAGTAGTATGAAAGGTTTCAGAATTTTTTAAGCCTCTGTCAACAGAGAGGAGGTACTTTGGTCAAGGAGCAGTGCATTCTTCCTGGTGCATGTAAATGTATTTCCTTTCCCTCTAGTGTACTGACATCCATAGCTCCATCAGGCAGAGGCTGTTAGGCCACCAGAGAGGATTGTGCTTTCCTCAAGTCTGACTTCTGGAAAAGGAGATCAGAACAATACTGTCTGTCTTCTGCTTCAAGGGTTTAATGCTTATTTCATTGACAATAAAAAGGACCCTAAAGAGAAACTTTTCACTAAAACAGAGTGTTTCATTAGTCTAGATCGGGGGTCAGGAAACTATGGTCTGGGCCAAATCCAGTCTGCTGTCTCTTTTTATAAATACAGTTTTATTGGAACATAGCCACACCCACTGATTTATATATTGTCTATGGCTGCTTTTCTGCTACAAGGCAGAGTCAGACATTTGCAACAGAAACAGAATGGCCCACAAAGCCTAAAACATTTATTATCTGGCCCTTTACAAAGAAAGTTTGTTAGTCTCTCATTTAGATTACTCTGAAGAATAATTCAGTGTTTTGTATATCTGCTGCTGAAGCACACACAGTTATAATGTGTAGGCTTTCACTAGTGCTTAAAGAAGAGTAAAAATATTCTTGTAGGTATTCCTTCTAATTCATAAAATCATTAATATGATAGCTGACAGCAGTCATTTCTTAGGTGAGGTAGAAAAGTTGTAGAAATCTGATGAAACTTCTGATTTAGTAGTAACTGATCTGATTTTAGTTCTTTTTAAATGCAATACCTGGTATCATTTTATGAAAATAAGAGCATGTATATTTCATAAATTAAGTGTCAGTTATTAGTTTGGGGTCACATTATTAGGGTTTAGACATAAAATTTGAAAGTGGAAAAAGATAAAGAGACAGATGAACCATGTTCAAATTATAACTATTTTATGGTCTTTACAGGCAACTATTTAGATCAGGGATGCATTAAATAGGTCAGTTCTTTTTAGAAAGAGAAGGGGGAAGAATTCACTAACTGGTTATTTACTTGAATGGTGTTTTAAAGAGTCACTAAATATGAGACAATTTTTTAAATGAATATATAAAGCATCATAGCTGACGTGCTTTTTAGTTTACTTGGGTAGAGCTTCCAAATTTAATATGGAAAAATATTGTCTTTTTTTATTTTAGGGTTGGATTGGTAGAATCTAAAATTCGTGTACTTGTTGGAAACTTGGAACGGAATGAATTTATTACTCTTGCACATGTAAATCCCCAGTCATTCCCAGGGAATAAGGAACATTATAAAGAGTGAGTTAATTACTTTTTAATACTGTATTTTCTAAATAATGTTATTTGACATAGACACTGTTTAAAAACAGTTGTGAGACTGTTTAACAAGCATTGATGGGGATGATACATTATGTTTTTGAGTAATCATACATTAAAACAAAGTACATGCTATGTTGATAGTCCATGGACTCCAGCAAAAACTCCATCACAGTATTTGGAGCAGCTTTAAGTGTATATTCAGTAAGTCATTTTCAAAACCATTTAGTTCTCTTTATAACACCACAGTATAATTTACCAACGTTCTTGGTGTCAGTTGTAAGAATCTGGCCAAACCATTGAAATTTATATTTATGCTTCCATAAAGACCAAGTTTTAATTACCAAATAACATCTGTAAAATTGTAAAAAGTTAATGAAAATTCTTAAATTTTATTTTATAGCAATAATTACGTGTCAATGTGGTTCCTCGGAATAATTTTTCGAAGAGTAGAAAATGCAGAAAGTGTTAACATAGACTTGACATATGATATACAGTCATTTACTGATACAGGTAAGACCTTGTCATCATAGAGCTATTGTTCTCAACTTTGGCTATAATGCAGTATTATCTGCCTTGGATCTGTCTGGCTATATTTTAAAAATTCTCCTATTGGTTAAGTGAATATGGCATATCCATATTATGAAAATCTATGCTGCTATTAAAGGCATGATGAAACAATTTCCATGACACATTTTGGGGGGGGGGGGAATGCAGAATAGTGTGTATAGTGCTGTACTATTTATATAATTAAAAAATATATGCATGTTGTCTTATAAATAGAGTATGAGGTCTGTCCAGAAGGTATCCAGCCATGTATTCTGAAAAATAGAGACATTTATTGAAGAGGGTACAAGGTACAGGAAATACTGTACAGAGGACAATGATGCCTCAGTCCCCTTCAAAAAGGCACCTTGGGACCTCCCAGTCGTCATCAGCTGCCCCATCATATTTCCTGAATCTCATCGATGGTCTGATATCCCTTCCCTTTCAAAGGTGATTTTAGTTTTGGGAAAAGCCAGCAGTCGCAGCACACCACATCTGGGCTGTAATTGGGGCTGAGTCACCTGAGTGATTTGATGTTTCACCAAAAACCTCTTGAATGAGACATGATACATGAGTGGGCACATTGTTGTGACGAAGCTGCCAATCGCTAGTTGCCCCATAGCCGTAGCCTTTTGAATCATCCAAATGGTTTCCACAGAGGGATGTTTAAGCTTTACACAAAATTTGATGCAGATTCGTTGCTCTGTTCACTCATTTTGAATGCAATGGCCACATAGTACACATGCTCACTCAGTGACATCTACTGCCCCCACTGATTAGTACAGTAAAGTCATTGTTCATGCATGCACATCCCAGCCCACTCTCCTTGACTGTCAGGTTACATCCACGTCATGCAAACTATTCTTGTTATATTAACAATGGCTGGACTTATTCCAGGCAGACCTTATGTATTTCTGAAAGGGTATGTAGTTTTTAAAAAAAGAAACTGGCAGAACTAGTTGCTTCTAGGTCAAGGAACCAGGTGTATTCGGGATTAGGGGTGAGGAGACTACTGAATACTCTTGAAGCCTTTGAGTTTTGTACTGGGTGAATGTATTACCTGTTCTAAAACAAAAAGACAACTAAAGATATTCTGCAGCCCTGACTGGTGTGGCTCAGTGGATTGAGTGCTGGTCTGCGAGCCAGAAGGTCAGCAGTTCGATTCCCAGTCTAGGGCACATGACTGGGTTGTGGACCAGGTCCCCAGTGAGGGGTGTGCGAGAGGCAACCACACATTGATGTTTCTCTTTCTCCCTCCTTCCCCTCTCTGAAAATAAATAAATACATAAATAAATAGTCTTTTTTTTAAAAAAACCTCTATAGGTGATTCTTAGTGTGCATAGCCAGGTGTAATCACTAATAAAAATCACTTGATATTTTTTTAACATGAAATAAATGTCAGTCAATACAGGCTTGCTGAATGTTTGGAATTAGTGAAAAGAATGTCTTTCACATTTAGTTCCCTAATAATACCTCTCTGGGATATCTTAATATATCTGTTATCTTAATCTAGAGTTCTCTTAATCTGGAATAGTGTGCATTCATACTCTTACTATTCTTGGTTTGTGAGCTAGTCCTCACATTTCTCATAAAAATGCAGATTCCTGTGCATCACCTGAGTACTACTGAATCACACTCTAGGAGTGGAGCCAGAGAGTCTGCAAGTTGAACAAGCACACCAGTGACTCTTTTATCAGCAGTCTGGAATGAAAATGTACATATAAATTTTCCCATTATAATTTGGCCTCAATTTTCAAAAAAGAGGAGGTTGGGAAACTATTTATTATAAAATTATTAAATGCTCTCCAGGTAGAGATACTGAGACCCCAAGAGATTAAATAATTTACCACATTTCATAGTAGTTACTAAGCCTTCCATCCCTGTCTTCAGTAAGTTTGTAATATAATTTGCTATTCACAGTTAACATACATTAAATAATTTACATGGTAGTTAATATAACTGATTTTCTTACAAGGTATGAAGAGGACTAGGATGGGAATCTAGGACTGTGTATTCCAGTCCCCACAAAGGCATCTGGGGCTGTTGAGCCTCCTTTCCCCACCTGTACAATAAGGATGTCCTTGTAGCTGGTTTCCAACATCTGACATTCTATGGTTATGATTGGTGTACTAAAAGAAGCTTCATGGAGGGGGGATGTTCGAATTGCACCTTGGGTTATTTGGTATTAAGATGAGCTTAGACATAGGTAAATCATTGTAAGAAGAGATTTTTCTTTCGGGAAAATAGCACAAAACAAGATTTGGATAAAACCTTTTTTTCATACATTTATATTGTTAATGAGATTTGATTATAGGAAAGTGTTAGAAATTGGACATAAGAAAACATAGTCAGAACTTAAATAGAACTGTGACCTGGTGAAAATGTTTTAGAAATATTTGTTCTGTAGGAGGAATGTATGTGTTTTTGTAGTGATGGAGAATATGCACCTCAGGAAAAGAAAACAGAGCCCTTGATTCAGGAAGAAGTTTCTGTTTAACCTATTGACATTGTTACAGTGTACAGACAGGCAAACAATATAAACATGCTAAAGGAGGGAATGAAAATTGAAGCAACTCATGTTAAAAAAAAACAACTTCATCACTATCTTCCAGCAGAGATTCTTCAAAAGAAGAAAAAGGTGAGTTTGTAATCTTAACTTTCCAATATGGTTCCTGGGACCAAATTTACATTCTGCCAGTTCCCACACCCTTTGAGAAGAAAGAGGGGAAATACAGACAATTATAATCTAATATCAAAATCTCACCTTCATTAATCACAAAAGATTATTTATTTTATATGTACTTCAGAATTGAAGAGTCATTGTTCTCATTGGCTTTTTGAAATCCTAAAATCTTTCCCCTTTTCAGCAAAGTCTTTCTGATGTCAATCGAAGTTCAAGTGGACCTCAATCCAAAAGATCATCTCTGGATAGCAATTGTTTGGATAGCTCCAGAGACACTGATAATGGAACACCTTTTAATTCCCCGGTGTCTACAAACAAACCTTCCAAGCCTGATAATTCTCCTTCAGGAGAAACAGAAAGGTCAGTATTTCAAAGTTGTCCTTTCAGTCTTCTTTATTTAAAGATAATAGAAACTTTCCTGTGCCTTGCTAAATACTTTCTTAAATTGTTAAATAATGTAATTTTATTTTACCAGTTGCTAGTCTAGAAATAACTGAACTACTTCTGATAATCCTGTGGGACATGGTATAGGTTTATGAATATGTAGGATTAGATTAGTGCAGAGACATGCATGTTTTCTGTTAATTTTTTTCTCTTAATTCTCACTGGGACCTCTGCCCTTTTCTCCCTTTTTCTCTTTTTTCAGTGAAGTAGTAAAGTAGGAATGCTTGAAAGAAGTAATGCTGAATGTTAAAAGTGCTTTAAATAAGTAAAATTTTAATCATTTAATGATGATAATTTAACACTTTTAGCAGGAATAATGCTGAGCCTGCTGCTGTAATTGTGGAAAAGCCACTGAGTGTTCCGCCAGCTCAAGGACTATCTATTCCAGTCATTGGTGCAAGTAGGTGTCTACTCTCTTGTTAGTAATGATCCTACTACATAATATATTTAATTATTAAAATCTTTCCTTTTTCCTTTTCAGAAGTTGACTCGGTAGTGAAAGCTGTATCACCCCCAGCTGTGTGCACCATTCCTACTGTAGTAGGACGAAATGTTATTCCTAGGATCACAACACCCCACAACCCTGTCCAGGGACAACCACATCTAAACGGAATGTCAAATATAGCTAAGAATGTTGCACCCAAGAGATCCCATTCCCCACCTATAGATGGGTCTTCAAAGAGGTTGAAAGATATAGAAAAGGTAAAGTTATAGTTTTAATTGTGATTCAATAGTTGCTTTTTTAAAAGTTAACTTTAAGAAAATACTGAAGAAATCAGAGTTCTTCATAGCCATCTTAGTGTTCCATTAGGATTTGACTGTTCAAAAAGAACATTTACCCTAACCCTAAAGGAACAGTTCTAATTGTTCATCCTAAATTCAGGTTATTAATGTGTCTGAAAACTTGAATGATTAATAAGTTTCTCCTTGACTTACACAGAAGTCATTATTGGTAACTAAACAGACATATTTATTGTGTTATAATGTTTATCTCCTGTGTGTCCAGTAGAGGGTGGTAAGACTTTTTTTTGTTATAAACTGAATTGTTTTAACCAAAAGATCACTCGAACTGTAGAAATTAAGAGTGGTCATTAAATTCAGTCTAATATAAATTCTCTTCTGTAATCAACTCATGTTTGTAAGTAGTTTTTTTTTCTATTTTTTTATTGACACTATTACAGATGTTCTTCATTGCCCCCTCAACTTCCCCCCACCCCACCCCTGCCTTTACTACATTGTTGTGTGTGTTCACGGGCTATGCATGTATGCATATATATATATATACTTTGGCTCATCTCTTCCAGTCCCCCCCATCCTGCTCCTCTCTGCAAGTAGTTTTAATGATAGCCTAATCACTAATTAGTTTCTCAGTTTATATAGATTTTGTATTTTTTGTAGGTAATAATAGCAATCATTTTAATGTTTATATTTTAGTTTATTCGACTTGAATCAAAGTTTAAGGAATCGCGTGCTGCTGAAAACAGAAAAAGAAAATCAGTGGTAAATATATTAATAGTGTGCTTCAAAATACTACTTTTAATGAATCATGTATCAGGAAAAGTACTGTATTTGAAAGTGGATCAGATCAGATCTGTCTGTAAAGTTTTGTTATTTAATGTAGAAATAAGTATTTGCATATAGGAGAGAAAGTTTTACATTTGTATATAACTCTTCTGTTTTTAGGATACCATTGGGGGAGAATGTATGCCTATTCCAACTATTGATACATCACGCAAAAAGGTAACAGATAGTCTAACTCATAGATGATATACATAGGTTAATAGGAATAATGTACATATACAAAAAGCTTACTAAGAGCCTATCACTGGGTGAAGGAAAAGGGTAGTAAGATTTTTGTCCCCATCCTCAAAGACCAGTCGTATAGTTGAGAATTGGGAATGGAAATAGCAAACAAGGTACAAGGTATATGATCCTAAATGTATGTGCTCAAAAGTCTAGAAGAGAACCAAGTAAGTTAAAAAGACTTCATGGCTTATTCAGATTATGTTCACCCTTTTTTTTTTTTAGTCATCTTTAAAGAAGAAGTATAGTGCCCAGCAGTGTAATTTCTTACCAACAGTTGATAGTATATCTTGTTGTGCACCACTGCTTACTATCAAAATTTAGGTTTGATAGTTAGGTTTCGTACTTACTAATATTTTAAAGGAATCAAATGTACCAGTGTACATACTAAGTACCTTAAAACGTAAGCTAAAGAGCCTGTAAACCTCAATTTAAAAATTTATTTTTCAATGAATTACCATTGAATTTAATAATATATTATGATTAAGCATGGTAAACTGATAAGCTGGTCCTCAAAAGTCAGCCTTGTGTAAATCAGAGGAATCCCTTCTTTGAGAGTTTACAGTGAACAAAGGACAAAATGGCTTATTTTAACTCCCCTGCTCCTTTAAAGAATAAAGTGCTTCTCATCACAATTAACTGTCACCCTGGCAGGTTCCCCAGGATGTATTGGCCATTCTAAAGCAGAATAGAAAATGTCCTCATATTTTCTATTATTTGTAGAATTTGTAAAATTTCTTTTAACATAAGAGTTATAAAAAAATATGGGTATATAATTAAAGTATGAGTGTGATAATGGACAAAAAAGCTTTGAAATGGATATTAAAGGATAAAAAGCATGACATGGCATATCTGGGTTTTGCTTAAAACATTTCATGTATAAAGGGTAAGGGTATAAACTAAACAAATATGGCAAAATATTAATGTCTCAGTCTTGGTTGTGATGTCTTAGTCTTCATTGTCCTATTTTCTGTTTTTGTGTGTTTGAAATTTTTTGTTATTTTGAATGGATGTGGATATCATATAGATACTTGTTTGGCCAAGATAACACACGAAGAATTAACTCTTGCAGTCATATCTTGGCACACTAACCCACTGTTTCCATCGCACAACTGTCTGTGTTTTAGGTGTTTTTGTTTCTCAGTTTTTTAAACTTTGCCTTCATGATACAATAATCGTTAGTGTTCTCAAAAGCCCTCAGATAGATGTCCCTGAATTTCACCATCACTGAAGTTACCTTGCCTGACTACAAATTGATTTTTCCTGAAAACTTGAGTATCTCACAGTGTTCTTCATGAACGTATTACAGAAAACTAGTTGAGGGATGTAACCACATATCAAATTTTTCTCTGTAACACACTCATTTTAAACATTACACCCCAAGAGTTTAATGTTTAGAGACCAAGCTCCTCCGATTTCCGTTTACCATGGCCTGACTTTGAGGAGGACTGTGTTCTTTGTGTATTTCTCAGTCCAGAAGTAGTGACTGATTTAACAAAGTCCTCTTTCCTTACATCACACTCCTCACACCTCCACCCTTTTCCTATCCCTTTGCTTTTCACCTCTGACAGTAAAGTCCCCAAAATAAAGAAATACTTACGAACATTGGAGAAAATACTCATCACATAACTTGAATATTTGGAGCTTAAGGGATTTGGAAAAACAAAAAACTCAGTTTTATGACTGATGTACTACTTGGGCCTTATATTTGCTTTTCCTTCTTTGTTTCTATTTCTTTCTAATAGAGACTGCCCAGTAAAGAACTACCAGATTCATCATCTCCGGTTCCAGCAAATAACATTCGTGTCATCAAAAATTCCATTCGACTGACCCTTAATCGGTAAAAGCAGTGCCTCCTTACTTAGGTGAATATGCAATCATTAGTGACAAGAGGCAGCCACTGTTTTAAAAATAGAAGTGGCTGTCATATATAAAATAAGGAGAAAGTTACAGTCATCAGCCTAGCAACCTTGAAGTGGTTTTTGAACTCTCACACTTTGACCTGCAGATGCTGTAGCATCCTCTCATTGATTGCTACATACACTTCTCTGAGGATCACCTGCTGTGAAATTGTCATCTACAATATTATGGCTTTGTGTTGGAGGTTTCACTGCCTTAACTTTTGATGCTTGTTTCTCTATAATGGGAACCAGTTCTTGGCTCTTTGGACACTGATAGAACAAGTCCTGAACTCCCTTTTTTTTTTTTTTAATTTGTCTTATGTTGTAATCATTGTATAGAATTGAAAAGGTTGAAAACAAAAAAAAAAAATTGTCTTGTAATTTTCCAAATGTTAACGCATTACTTTAGCATTGAAGCCACTTTGTGAAACCTGAGATAAATGAATGTGAGGTATCTTTTCTGCTTTCCTCATTTGTGTAAATGTACTTATTGTCTGTTCTGTTGATTTAAATTATTTTTTTTCCAGATTGGCACCTGGAATATGTAAATCTTTTTTGTGCCTTTCTGTCCAAATGTTGCATTGTTACCAGGGAGGATTAGCCTAGTGGTTACATCAGAGTTGGGCACCATAAATTCTCTATCTTTTGCCTCCCATGGAGGCCTTCAAAATGCATCTTGATTAAGAATCAAAATAGAACCAGGATACAAGTGAGTATATGAGTGGTGAAATTGTTACATATCCTATCTCATGCCATTCTTTTTAGCTGACAGGTATTTTTTACCAAGAAGCAACTCATTCCAGCCTCAACAATAAGATACCTTTGAGTACAGCAAACTTGTATTTTTGAGGTGTAAAATTAAATTGGCATGGTAACTCCTGACCATTACTTACCCCACAACTTCAGACATTATCTTCACGGACTAGGCATGCAGAAATAAGCAGTGGAATTTATTGAAACCTAAAGGCATTTTTGAATGACATTGTTACCAACCGTTAATTGGCTCAGGACCTTTGTAATTTTTATTTAACTATATGAGTTGTCTTTTTTTACACTGCTTTTTTCAATGCATTTCGTAATATTTTTTAAGTTTCATGAATGCATGCTCAGTTTATTAAAATCATAACCATGTAATTCTTGTAATATGTTGATTCAGTGTTTTGTAAATGAAGTCGTATGTATTTTCAGAGTATTTTTGTATGTACTGTAAGATACCATCTTTTCAAAGAGAAAACTTTAAAACCTTTACGTCTCTCTTTAGTCTAATTTTTTAAATATGGATTATGCTTGAATTCTTCTTAAAATGAAAATGTATAGATTATACAGCCAGGAATACTGGTGTATATTATCTTCTTCAGCTTTCACTCAGCATTTAGTAGATCCAGTAGAAAAAACACAAAATGGTACATTTGAATAGTGCCGAGAAAATACTTGGTTGTGTATTTTATAGGACTTATGTGGGACACCTTTTAGCCAGTGAAGGAATAGCAGTCCATTTTCTCTTGTGAGCCCTTTACCATTGATTGAAATATTTGAATTGATTGTGAGAGCAGCATCCTTCTCCTCCAGCTCCTGTTCCCATGATCCATGGGCCTCTGAAATGAAAATTATAGTTTTTAACTTGTACAAAGGAAAACTTCTTCAAAGTAAAAAAAAAAAGGGGGGGGGGGAACAATGGTTGTTCCATCATTCACTTTTTAACACAGCGAAAGGCAAGAATGAAATCCCACAACCAAGTTATAGCTTCCTTGGCAAAGCTGTTCTCTTAGCTGAACCTTTTCCTTTATTCAAATATTTTCAGATTTGTTCTACAGATACTGTATTTGAGCAAAAGTGAATCATTCTGAAAGGACTAGGTAATTGTCAACTGACTTCAAACTTTAAAAATTCTTTAGTAAGGAATTTGATTACATTTTATGTGATGTGTTTGCATTTCTCTATTTAATGTCTGCCTTTTACCTCCTCTATTATCAGTCTTCAGAGTCTCTTTAAGAATCCCCTGTATATCCCTGTTTACCTGTATTATGTAAACAGATTCTTTGGAGTGAATAGTGGAGCTTGTCTTTAATAAGAAAACAATAGGCCTACCCTTTGTACCATAATATAGTCATTTCTCTTGTTTTCAGAGTCCATTCAGCATGGGGTTAAGACATAGTCAGTGGTTCAAGTTGGACCTCTCAAAGATAGCATTCTTCAACCTGTTTGTTAACTGGGGAGTTGAGATGCTTTTAAGATGGTGGGTTTGGTCAGAAATGAAGTTTTTTTAATCGTGCACTGTAGGTAGAATGTTCAGGACAGTTTGTTACTATCGTAGGAAACCTCCATTGTACTAGTTCCAAGTAAGTAAAGGGAGAGTATGATGGGGGGCAGGGAGTGTTGCATATATTATGAGGGACTAAGTAGATACGTTTGATTTCAGGTGTGAAACTACCTTGAAATACATTTTTTTAAGTCAAATAATCTGTTCATTATGTAGACACGTTCATTTTCACAAGGGTATTAAATTTTAATCTCATTTTTCAGCAACTGACTGGCTCTGAAAAATAGTGTATGAAAATAATTACCTGCTAGTTTACCCTCAGGGATAATTTGAGAGATAAAGTTTATAGCTTAAAACCTTATGAAATCGGGGCAGGAGAATGAATTTTGAAAGTCTGTGTTGGTGCTTACAATAAGAGTAACTTTGTCTTAAGGCAGCAATTGAGTAATATTAAAATGCTTACTGTGGGGGCAGTGAGGTGAAGATGCGCAATGCTGAAATGGGCTAACCTTATTTTCCACTGTCCACAGCTTTGAAATCAGTTCCTAACTTGGGTGTCATGGAGCCTAGGGAATCCTTTGCGAATGAATAGCTTTTGTTTATATGCATTTTTATTGGGGGAGGGGCAGAATTCATCACTTTCTCAAAGTGGTTCCTGACCCTAAAAAAGAGGGGTCGGGGAATGGTTAGGAACAAAACTGTACAGAATTGATGAATCCCGGACTCTTGGGAATTTTTTTTCCATAAGACTTTTCTGTGGTATAGTTCTGAAAATGTACTGTGGCTCTTAACCAGTAAAGTGGGTTGATGGAAGATGCTGGAACACCAAATTTCTCTCCAAGTTTTTTTATATATTTCAGGTGAGACATCTTAAGTATTTAGAAGAATGCTTCCTATTGGATTTATAAATCACCTCATGTTAATTTAGATTCATCAACAGGGTCAAACTCTAAATTCAACAAATTTCTAAGATTGATCAGAGTAGAATAGCTTAGAATAACTATTAGAAATAGTAAAAAGTACAAATTAATCATTAAAAATCCTAACCATTTGATTTCAGTATCATTAAAGTCCTCTTGTTCCTCCATGTTTATGGTTCAGACCAGAACATTCTGAACAGACCAGTAAATAACTCTTCAATATAAAAAAATATTTTTTATAAATAAAAGAGTGAGAGAGAGAGAGAGAGAGAGAGAGAGAGAGAGTGTGTATGTGTGTGTGTGTGTGTGTGTGTGTAAATAACTATTAAATCTTCCAAAGCTTAGAATTTAGGTCATAATGATAGTTATAAATAGTGCAGATGATGGAAGAAAACCAGTTTCAATAATGGTAACTGCGTATTTCCTTAGAATTTTTTCAAAAGAATTGTACACGGTCAGATCCTTCCCAAATTCCCTATTTTTTCTGAAATTTTCTGATATAATTTTATATTTGAAATTAGTATAATTTTTAAGCTATTGCTACATTTTAGCAAAGACCCACTTAATTACCTTATAGAATATCTTTGAGGTAAATGGTGCTACATCACTCCACAGTGTTATGTAAAATGAATGCAGCTGCTTTACCATTCTAGGTAGCTGTTTGTGTAGCTCATATTACTTTTTCCTGCCTTTTATTTGGATTGTCTTATTAGTTGTACACATGAACCGCGTTATTTGTCTGGAATAAGTAATCAAATAAACTTGCTTTGATAAATAGGTGTTGATGATTGATGTTATTTGGAAGTAACTTAAATGCACCAAACATCTTTACTTATTTTTCAAACTGACAGCCAATTTGGTCTTTACCACTCCATCTGTTTTGGACAGATGAATCTGAAAGCAAAACTCATACTCAATTCCCCTTACAAGAATTGCTTCTTAAACATTTATTATTGAGCAATAATAAATTGCCCTCGCGTATTAAGGGCAGAATTTTCTCAGTCTTGTGGTGAATATCAGGTGACCAGAGTCCTCTACTAATGGCTAGGCAGAGGTACATTTAGCAATCATACCTTTGGTACTGTCTACAGAAATACACTTTACAGAGCTTGTTACATTCTTGTAATGAACAGTGACTTGTTTTTCGCCATTCCACATATCTTGAATACAGGTACTGAATTCACAAATAAGAACCTGTGTCTTCATCATTTAAGATCTGTTGTAAGCCACTCATAGTACTAATGAAAACACATTTGACACTTACTAGGCTAATTAGCAAGGCTGCCTGTATCAACTGAGCAATGGATAACAGAAGGGCCCCTAGTACTCACTGGTGAAGCATGGTCTTCTGATTGGATAGCCCGCTCACCATCCGTGGAATGTGACTTTCTGACTAGGACAACTCATTGCTCCAAGGATATAACACAGTTGTCCCACTATGCTGAAATGTTTTAAATTAAGTGAGCATCGTCATAACAGGTTCTTTGTGGATCCAAATGCATTAAAGTGTTAAGGGCAAAATAGAATTTATTTTAAAGTACATGTACTAAAACTATCTTTAAAACCATATGATCCAGCCAAGTTTACCTATTAGTCCTTAAAGAGATATACTTGTAAATTCTTCCTTAACAATCTGATTATTGACATTTGGGGCCTAATAGCTGTATAAAGCCTTCCATGCTAACTTGGCCATAGTGAATCATACATTCCCTAACATGTTACTTGCACCTTTTAACATTTTAATTATTCTGTGTAATGTTCAGTTTACCTACTTGCCTTGAAGAGGTTGTAGGTTTGAGAGTAGTAACCTTTATCCTAGAATCTGTGTAGTGGCTGCCAGAAAATGCTGAAGAAGAAAATGCATGAATCCTGTCTGGTGGGTGGTTTTGAATTTTTTTTTTTTTTTAAATTTGAATAGGATTATCCAGAAGAGAGGCCTGACAAAGGACCTAAGATGCAGAGGCAAACACAACTTAGTGAAAATCATTAAGACCTATTTTTCAAACTTGAATTGTAAAGTTTAGTAAGAAAGGCATTTACATTGCAAGCCAGAACATGCATACACACACGAATGTGTATATATAATTTATATTTGTAATATGTGTAATACAGGTTGATACTTATATTTCTCTTTAAGTGCTAGTTGTGATTTAACTAAGGTGATTTCACAACCTCTCCTGAGTCATGAACCTACAGTTGAAATACATTGCATTTGGAATTCTTTTCCCCTAAAGTTCATCTCAAACTTGGATCATCTTTCTTTACTCAGTCTGTTCTAGAATGCAAACTGGTACAGGAAATACTACTAGAAAGGACAGTATGAAGCATGTGAAAGAAGTAGATTAAGTATATAGAGATACTCCTTTCTCCCAAGGAAAAAATGTTACCTGGGAAACTTAACATCTATCCATCAATCAATTTTTTTTAAATGTAAAAGCCAAAATTCAGAAAGAACAAGAATTGGGACATTTGGACGGTATTTATTTTGGTAGTGGTCAGTTGACCTCAGCTGGCCAAGAGGTGTCATCAATCCCTGGAGGGTGAGCTGGAGGTAAACTGAAGAATGACAGCTAACCAAGAGTCACTCATAGGAGATGCACAAATTACTCGTTTAGAAAAGCTCATACAGTATCTCGGCCTGGTCCAGGAACTCGAAGATACTAGGAAATTGAGGTCCAAGAGTAAAAGTATTACTATCTCCTGAGAAATTCTAGATCATAATTATAAAAGTGCTCAACATTTACTAAGCATTTAGATGTGCCTTTTAGAACATTGTTACTTAATCCTTAAAATAATCCTATGAGGTAGCAGTTACTACTTTACAAGTGAGAAAATTGAGGCTTAGAGATTATGTGACCAGTTCAAGATTGCACAACTATTAATTGGCAGACTCAGGAAGTACAATTCAAAGCCTAGTGTTCAGCCATATCTCCCATTTATGAAAGCAGTCAGATGTGTGGGTCAAAACCCTGCCACCTTGTATTCTCCCATGGAATCTGGAACTTGATTTGAGGTAAACCTGCTCAGCACCATCAGTGGTCATTTGTGCTGGGCTGTAGGGGGCACTGTGGCTTCCTGCAGAGAGCCCCAGGCTGAGTCAGGAAAGCCCAGTTGTAGCCAAGCACTGCCACCAGCATCTGGGTGACTTTGACACTCAACCCCTACTGTTCTTTGTTTTCTCCCATCTGAAAACACTTGCTCTTCAAATCTCACAGAGAAGCTATGGCATGAAAATATTCCAAAAGGTTAACTGAGTTCTACAGACAGTTAATCTCCCAGCATAACAGCTATGTAACATTCCTTAGCCATCAGTCTAAGGTGGAGTAGCAAGAAAAGGGATGCCAGAGAAATAGTGCCAAGAAAAAAATGAAAATGAAGGTTTACCTGATAAG